TCAGTGGCAGGCAGCCATGGACGCAGAGATGGCTTCCTGGAAGTTCACAGGCACCTACGTAGACGAGGTTCCCCCACCTGGGGCGAACATCGTCAGTGGCATGTGGATCTTCAGGGTGAAGCGGCCACCGGGTTCTCCGCCTGCCTTCAAGGCGCGTTACGTTGCACGTGGCTTCAGTCAGCGACAGGGAGTTGACTTCTTTCAGACCTTCTCCCCTACCCCGAAGATGACCACTCTTCGGGTACTGCTGCACGTTGCTGCTCAGCGTGACTACGAGCTCCACTCGCTTGACTTCAGCACAGCCTTCCTACAGGGCAGCCTGCACGAGGAGATCTGGCTGCGCCGCCCACCTGGCTTCACTGGGTCGTTTCCTGCTGGTACCCAGTGGAGCCTCCGGCGGCCAGTCTACGGTCTCCGCCAGGCACCCCGTGAGTGGCACGACACACTCAGGACGACTCTTGCTTCTCTTGGTTTTGCTCCTTCCACTGCTGACCCTTCTCTGTTTCTACGCACTGACACTACTCTGCCGCCGTTCTACGTTCTCGTGTACGTAGACGACCTCGTCTTTGCTACTGCTGACACTAAGGCACTCGCCCACATGAAGTCCGAGCTGCAGAAGAGACATACGTGCACAGACCTGGGTGAGATGACAAGCTATCTTGGCTTGCGGATCACCCGGGACAGAGCACAGCGCACCATTACCTTGACTCAGTCACACATGGTGCAGCAGGTCCTTCAGCGCTTCGGCTTCACGTACTCCTCGCCACAGTCCACTCCTCTGCCTACCGGTCACTCGCTCTCAGCTCCACCTTCGGACGAGTCCGTAGAGCCGAGTGGCCCGTATCCAGAGCTTGTGGGCTGCCTCATGTACCTGATGACTTGCACACGACCTGACCTCGCATACCCTCTCAGCCTTCTGGCTCGTTACGTGGCTCCCGACAGGCACCGAAAGGTGCACTGGGATGCTGCGAAGAGGGTGTTGCGGTACTTGTGCAGTACATCGGGCATGGGGCTCGTGCTTGGAGGACGGGCTCGAGTTGTCCTCACTGGTCACGCTGACGCCTCCTGGGTTGACGACTTGGCTACGCAGCGGTCGTCACAGGGTTACACCTTCAGCCTTGGCTCTGGTTCTGTCTCTTGGCGGTCTACCCGCTCTTCTTCTGTTCTCAGCTCCAGTTGTGAGGCTGAGATCTACGCTGGGGCCATGGCTGCACAGGAGCTACGCTGGCTCACCTACCTGCTGACCGACTTGGGAGAGGCGCCTCGTTCTCCTCCAGTTCTGTACGTCGACAACAAGGCCATGCTGGCCTTGTCTCAGGAGCACAGACTGGAGCACAGAACGAAGCACATTGCTCTGCGCTACTTCCTTGCTCGAGAGTTGCAGCAGTGTGGCCAGCTTCGTCTAGCTTACGTGGCCTCTCAGGCCAACACTGCTGATGTTTTCACCAAGGCACTTCAGCCTTGTGATCATCAGCGCTTCTGTACTGTGTTAGGCCTTGTACCTACTGTGCCTCACTTGCTTTCTTCTTGACTCTGCCTGTACTGTACTCTTTGTACATATACCTGCATGCTTATACTTGCTAGGTTGTGTTCACTGTATTGTTTGCTTTCCTTTATATAACTCTGCATGTGAACTGGCATTGTGGCCATTTGCTTGTGCTCAGACTGCGTGGTGACTTTGTGATCCACCCTGAGCTTGCTTTGCTCTTCTTGACTGGTCTTGTGACCCCTTGTTCTCCCCCACTTTGCCTATGGGGGTGTGTCAAACTTATATGTGCTATAGTCTGTTTAGGCTGTAGTGGGGTAGTCCTTAGAGGGTACAACACTTTTGTGTTGTCTACTTGTACCCCACCTGTTTCCTAGTTGATCATTCCATTCCTCAATTCTCTCACAAGAGAGAGAGAGAGAGAGAGAGAGAGAGAGAGAGAGAGAGAGAGAGAGAGAGAGAGAGAGAGAGAGAGAGAGAGAGAGAACGAGAGAGAGAGAACGAGAGAGAGAGAGAGAGAACGAGAGAAAAAGAACGAGAGAAAGAGAACGAGAGAGAGAGAGAGAGAACGAGAAGGAGAGAACGAGAGAGAGAGAGAATGAGAGAGAGAGAGCGAACGAGAGAGAGAGAAAGAGAGAGAGAGAACGAGAGAGAGAGAGAGAGAACAAGAGAGAGAGAACAAGAGAGAGAGAGAGAACGAGAACGAGAGAGAGAACGAGAGCGAGAGAGAGAGAGAGAACGAAAAGTCAGTTTGATTCCTGCTGACGCGGTTTCTTTAGTCTTTGCCAAGTGAGAGTGAGTACCACTTAGATTCATCCTACACCATAACGTACAAAATTAGAAGTTGTACAAATTTATGTAAGTAAGCAAGTGCTTCGCAACCCTACGACGATTTCGTCGCCTCTTGTTTGCCTTGCCTCCTCGTCCAATCGATAGGACCTGCCCTTCGAGCATGGAGGTTGATGCCTAGGACCATGGGCACGCTTGTCCATCGTGCTTGATCTTGTTATCTCTCGTTTCTCTCTCTCACTCTCTCTCTCTCTCTCTCTCTCTCTCTCTCTCTCTCTCTCTCTCTCTCACTCTCTCTCTCTTTCTCTCTCACATTCTTTCCCTTGGTCTTTGGTTCATGAAGGCTGATGCTTGGGACCATGGACATGCATGTCCACCGTGCTATATCTCGTTCTCTCTCACGCTTTCTCTCTCTCTCTCTCTCTCTCTCTCTCTCTCTCTCTCTCTCTCTCTCTCTCTCTCTCTCTCTCTTGCTATGCACCTCCTCTTGATTTTTTAGAGGCACTTTGCCAAAATTAGTGGGCCTTTGAGAATGAGTTCTTTATTAATCAACCAACACGCATAGCAATGCTTTCCTAGCATGCATCACGCCACCGAATGGCCAACTACATGGGACCGAGGGGGTTGTTGTTCCCCTTCCCTATCCTAGGCCCAAAGCCTATTCCTACCCTTCACTAGGGCTGGCCTCTTGCCATCGCAAAACCCTAGGGTTGCCCACGGTTTTTGCACTCAAGAGTGCACCGTGCCTAGCGCGCAAGCGCCTAGTCCCATGGCCCGCTCCTACACCACCGGAGCAGGTCCTTGGCCGCCATGCCCATTCCTAGGGCAGGCACTTGCCACGTGGCCCGGCTGGCCGCAGCAGAAGCACGATCCCCGAAACCTACGGCAATTGGCCGTGGGCAGGGGGGCCCGCTTGGGTAAGAACGGCATCGGCGCGTTGTTTCCGCCGCGGTTGACACGAGCGTATCCGCTTGCCGCCCGGTCCATCGGCGCGATGTCCGCGACCGCTTGCTTGAAGGGTCGAGAAGTCAGCAGGCTCTTCTGCTGGTACAACTTGAAGCGCTTCGCCGTGCGGAAGTCGGAGGCGTCCTCCACTTGAGGCACCTCGAAACGCCCCGAGATGAGGTTGAGAGCGTGCGAGATGAGTTCGAGTCTGCCCGCCGGGTCCCCGCGCTGCGCCTTGTATTCCGTGTGCAGCAGGTACGCGCGCAAGTCCTCCAGCAGCTCCGCTTGCTCTCGCACGGAGTCGTTGACAAATGTCGCCGCCGAAAATGTGAGGTTAGAAGAAGCGAGGGGGGGAAGGTGTTCCGTGCCATTAAAATTAACATTGTTGACTGAAGCCTCACCGGCTTCATCTTCAGAGTCGTCGGTGTCGTTGTCGACCGCTGGAGCAGGGGGCGCTGCTGTCGCTGCGTCGTTGTCGTACCGATTCGTCATTGCTCCTCGCGTGCCTTTTTCCTTTTTTCACATTTTCTTTTTTAGCCGACGCAGATGCAGCGGGTAGTGCAGTTTCCGCGGCTGTAACGCTGACGGGCTGCTGCTGTAGAAGGGATAGCAGCGCGTTGACCTGGTCCGGGGTCAACGCTTGCGTCAACGCAGGGGCGGTCGTCGCGTCAGATGAGGAGACCGCCGTCCGCCTCCTCTGGCGCTGACGCGACGATCCAGCCGCGGGTGCTGGCGTGTGCTCGGCGTCAGTGACGTGTGCCGCGCCAGCAGTCGTAGCTACTTGCGCCGTAGGTGCCACTGGCGCCACAGGCGCCGAAGGGTGCTGCTGGGCATCGGCCGCTTTGTTGACCTCGAGCCCGCCCAGCAGCACGTCCACTGCAGTCGGGGCGGGCGGTCCATCCTCTGCCCGTCGCTTGTTACGGCGTTCGCCCGCCAAATCGCGGGTGTTACGGTCGGAGTCGGAAGCGGGGTTTGACGAGTTCCCGTTGTTAAGTGTCGGCGTCGGTGCCATCTTTGAGCGATTGAAGTTAAAAATGTCCCTGAGTAAAGTCTAGGGTGACTCGCCTCTAGGAAGCGATTTTCTCCTAGCCAGCTTGGACGGAGGGATAAACTACGTGAGTGGAAATGTTGAGTGAGCCGTTTGAAAATAGAGAAACGTGGGTGGAGGGAAATGTGCTCCAACCCATGGTTTTTGTAGTTGGAGAAGGGCGTTTAGCGCGCTTCGACGATGTCAATTGTGCAATACAAGTAGCTTCGCTTTCACAATACACAATTTAAAAAAAACACTGTGTTTAAAAATTATAATTTCTCACCAGAAGCTGCTTCTGGTGCTACAATGATGATACCGTATTGCTGATACCGTATTTGCTGGTGGCCCATACAGTGCTCTGTTCGTGATAGCTAGCACGCAATCCGGCAGCTCTACAAAACTGAAATTCTGTTAGCATCAGCCCTATTTACATGTATCATCTACATACTGCAACTACCTTACCTATAGTACTTTAAAAAAGGAAAAACTACGGCTAAGGAATCATGTTGCAGATGCAGCAGTAGGCTACATAACCAGCTAGAATCACCATGTTACGGTAACCCAAACCCAGCAACCCAGACAAACACCCTGTTCGATAAACTTGTACCTTGAATCAGATACAGGTACGTCAATTTCGGCAAATCCTGTGCCGAGACACCAGGAGGACCCTTTTGCGGACCGGAGAATCAAGAGTATAGGTAACCAGACTTATTCTCGAAGGGTGTGTTTTGCGCTCGAAGAGAGACAACTTTACACGTCGTCACCGCCGCCGTCGTCGTCGTCGTCGTCGTCGTCGTCGTCGTCGTCGCCGCCTCCTCCTCCGCCTCTACACCTCAGCATTGTCATCATCCTCATGCCCCATGGCATACAGAATCCAGTTTTGAGGCGCCTCAGAACTAGCCTCCTCTCCATGCACCCCTCCCTACCGGAGTATCTCATCATCCTCATGCCCCACGGCATACAGAATCCCCTTGCGCTTGCGCCGAACAGCCCCTCTCAGCCACCCCACCGCCTTGGGAGCTGCAGCCACCGCATCCCCTCCACCCGCCCCCCACGTACCCGCAAACTCACCACCACCACCAGCAGCACCAGCTGCGGCGGCGGCAGTGGCTGAAAGACCTAGACTGGCTGTTCCTCCTGCACATTCCTCAAGTAATAACCATGGATCTATCTCCATCTCTGCTCCATCTGCTGCTGCTGGTGCAGCCGCTGCTGCCGATGCAGCCACTGCAGCTGCTGCAGCAGCTGCTACAGCTGCTGCTGCTGCTGCTGAGGATGCTCCCCCGGATCCTGACCCTACTCCTAACGCTGCTGCTCCTCCTGTTGCTGCTGGTCCTGCTGCCGTTGCTCCTATACCTGCTGCCGCCGCGGTTGATAGTCCTGCTACAAGAGCGGCTGGGAGGCGAAGGCAGGGGCTAGGGCTGTGAGGGGAGGAGAGTGAGCGGGTGACGATCAGAGGTGGCAGCGGGAGGTTAGGGTTAGAGCCACGGTTCCGACCGGGAGAAAAGGCTACATGTAGAGGCGGAGGGGAGAAGACGGTGGAAGGGATGGGAGTGGCAACGGCTGCAGGGATCATGGTGGGTTCTAAAGGTGTGCCGTCTGCTGCTGCTGATGCGGCAGCAGCTGCCGCGAGGAGAGGGGGAGAGGGTTCTGGGAGAGCGGCGGAAATGGTGATTGGCGGAGGCGAGGGGAGGACGGGGAGGGCGGATTGCAGGCGGGACCAGAGAGCAGGGTCGGGGAAGAGAGAGTCGATTCCCGCCTGAAAAGAAGAAGAAGAAAGAAAGAAGAAGAAAGAAGAAACAAGAGGGGGCGTGATGGGAAGGGGAGGGATAGGGGGTGAAAGGGGCTGTGAGCAAAACGTCAAAACTCTTGAGGACAGGCGAAGGCATGGTTGGCGTTAAACTGTGAAGCGGCATGGAGAGGGATGGGGAGAGGAGGACTGGAAAATGGGCCGAACTGTGAAACTGCATTGGATTGGTGAAGAGGGGGTGGGGTGCACATGCATTTCGAGTCGACCACAAGTCGCTCCTAATGAGTCGATGAATGAATGGTGCATGGTGCCTGGTGCATGCTTTATGGTCTGTTTGCTCACTTGTAGCATTTCCAGCATGTCAGGGTCAAGAGGAGCCACATCCTTGAGCGGCTTGTGCAATGGGGAGGACGTGGATGAGGGAGGGAGAGGGAGAGGGAGCGCGGACGAGGAAGAGGAGGAGGAGGAGTGCGGAAAGGGACGAAGCCAGACAGGCCAGGAGGGAGTGAGCAGCGCATAGAAGATGGATAGAAGCGTGTCGAATAACAAGTCTCCTGATGCCTCCCCCTCCTGCTGCTGCTGCTGCTGCTGCTGAATAAGAAGCCGCAACGGCGCTCCTCTCAATCCCACGCCGTTTGAAACATCAGCTTTGTTAGTGGGTCGGTGGAGCAAGGGGAAAGTGCCGGACCGGGTTAGAGAGAGCAGAGGAGAGATGAGCGGGAGAGATGGGGAAGCGGGAGCAGGGAGCGGGCATTGGACGGCGGAGGAGGCGAGGAGGTGGAGGAGGGTGAGAGTGAGGGAGCGACGCAGGTTGCGGGGCAAAGGGGCACGTGCTGATGGTGGGTCTGACCGGGAGTCCCTGTTGGTGGCAGGGGAGAGGGGGAAGAGAGAGACGGATAGAGAGAGGTGGGGAGGGGATGAGCAGGGGTAAGGAGGGGGATAAGGAGGGCACACATACGTGCTCAAAAACATCTGCCCACATGTACGCCCGCCCGCCCAGTCCCCCCACCAACCCTTACACCACCACCCACCCACCCACACACCCACCCACCCACCCACCCACCCACCCACCCACCCACCCACCCACCCACCCACCCACCCACCCACCCACCCACCCACCCACCCACCCACCCACCCACCCACCCACCCACCCACCCACCCACCCACCCACCCACCCACCCACCCACCCACCCACGCACCCACACACACACACACACACACACACACACACACACACACACACACACACACACATACATACATACATACATACATACATACATACATACATACATACATACATACATACATACATACATACATACATACATACATACATACATACATACATACATACTCACACGCACCTGTCAGCATGAACCATGGGCAGCAGTGGGAAGAGGAACTGCAGACGAAGCCAGAAGGCAGAGTGGATGCTGTGGAGTGTGACGGGGGGCGAGGAGGGCTCGATTGCACCCTCCGCACCCTCACCAGCAGCACCAGCAGCACCAGCAGCACCAGCAGCATCGCCACGATCAGGATCGTCATTCCCTCTGCAGCTTCTGCTGCTGGTTTCGGCAGGTCTCTTACGCGAGCCAGGGTATGCTGCCCCACCACCAAAAACTATAGGTGCAGCGGTAGCAATACCAGCACCAACACTATCGGCACATGCAGCAGCAGCAGCGTCAGAAGGCGCGGCAGGAACTGCAGCAGAAGCAGCAGCAGCAGCAGCAGGACCACCACCACCACCCGTGCCACCATCCCCCCTCGCACGCTTCCCAAAACCCCTTCCAGAATCCCGCATTTTGTGAGTCGACCCAAACAAGGACTGCCCAGGAAGTGCCGCGCCTTCGAGCGCGATAGTGGCAAAAGGCTTTGCAGCGAGGAAGGTGTGGAGCAAGGAGAATTGCTGTATGATGTCCTGAGTAAACCCGGACCGGGCTTCCTCTGAAGCGCGAGCGAGACAGGGCAGGACGAGGCGGGCCAAAGCACGCTCTGTCGTGAACGCGACAAGAGGAGATGCGTGTTCCGATGATGGTAGTGGTGTTAATGATGATAGCAGGAGGCATGAGTGCAGCTGCTGCTGCTGCTGCTGATGGCGGTAGTGGTGCTGCGGTTGCTTGGATCGATGTCTGTGCTTGTGCCGATGATGGCATTGGTGTTGATATTGGTGGTGTGAGGAAAGTGATGGGATGCGGCTGTATTTGCGCAGACCTCCTGCTGCTGACGCGCCTGCTGGTGTGCTCCATCCTCTTTCCCCACCACCACCACCACCACCACCATCACCATCACCACCACCACCACTCGCCTCCCCTCTCCTTCGCTTCGCCTTTCTCCCACCCCAGCACTCACAACACCCACAACACCCCCGAGAAAACCCCACAGAATCACAACAGCTCCGCCTTAAACAAGACCCACAGTGAGTAACAACAGTTGCAGCTCCACCTCCCGATCCCCCTGCCCCATTCTGTTCCTCCACAGCTAAACCCACTGCCACTCCTCCACCTCCCACAACATCAGGCTCACAAGCCCAAGAGCCAAACGGCCTCCAGAGAGTATCCGGAGGAAACAGCCACGGTTGCTTTTCGTGTTTCTCCCCGACCTTCACACTCGGTTTCCCACTCGGCCACTTGCCACGCCGCTTCCGCCGCTGCTTCCTCCTGGCCCTCGCCCTGCCGCTGCTCCTGCTGGGAAGGAGACTTTCCAATACCGGCCCGAGAGAAGCTGAGGAAGACGGAAGAGACGAAGCCAGAGAGTCAGAGTGTGTTGCAAGCCTTCCAGGAGAAGCGTCAGGGGAAGATGCAACTGGTACAGAGGCATACTGCCGACGAGACGGCTGCGATACAGAAAGAAAACGGTTAACTTGAGAGGGTAAGAGGGGGTCAGCAGCGGTTGGAGCAGGTGAGGAATCGGGTGAATCGCTCTCTCTTAAAATGCCCAAGCCCCCCAAACTCCCAAAGCTGTTAGCATTTCTAGAACTACCAGAACTCTGGTAAGTATAGCTAGACAGAGAATCGCAGTCCGACGAGCGTTCGTCATCGTCCTCGTCCTCGTCGTCACTGTATGAGTACGGGCCGCACCCTCGGTCCGACAGGTAACGGTCTGAAGAGTATCGATCGGGAGAGCAGAAGGATCCGGAGTCCTCCGAGCACTCTCCGGGGAGATAAAGCTCCTCTGAATCCTCTGGATCCTCTGGGTCCTCTAACTCTTCTGAGAGTTCGCTGCCATCATCATCATCAGCAGCAGACTCATCATCGTCACTGGCAATCGTTGCAACCATTCCACCCCTTGCACCCGTTGCAATCTTTCCGTTGAAACTGCCAGCCTGCAAATCTACAGAATCAGACTCGTATAGCATTTCTATGACAAGATCACTCTCCCTACGCTCCTCTGACACACTCCCACATAGGTCACTTCCCTCACTCTCCTCGCTTTCCTCACTCCCCTCACTCTCCACGCTCTCATCGCTCTCCTCACTTTCCCCCGCTTCCGCCTCGCTTTCCTCAATCTCCTCACTCTCCGCACTCTCACCAATGTCCTCGCTACTCTCTTCACTTCCCCCCACAAGGGTCCAATCCCCCAACTTTCCTAGCTCCTCCTCCTCCTCTTCTTCCTCCTGCTCATACTGTACCATCAAACTCTCCCCGTCATCATCACCACCACTCTCCTCGTCCTCGTCCTCCTCTTCCCCATCCTCCTCACTCCCGCTTTCACTCTCCTGCCCTTCCACCTCATCGTCCTCCTCAGCCTCCTCCTCTTCCTCTTCTTCTTCCTCCTCCTCCTGCTTCATTCTCTCTTCCTCCTCCAGCAATCCATAGTTTCCCTCCTCCGCTTTCACAAGATCTGATTCCTCTTTTCTTGCCCACTCCTCCCCAAATTCATCCTCCTCCTCTTCGTCCTCCTCCTCCTCCTCACTCTCATCATCCTCCTCACTCTCCTCCTCCTCACTCTCCTCATCCTCGTCTGAATCATCATCTCCCTCTTCGTCCCACTGCAGTCTTTCCCCTTCCTCTCCCCCACTTTCCTCCTCCCCCCCTTCCACCTCCTCCCCCACCTCCTCCTCCTCACTCTCCTCCTCCTCCTCCTCCTCGCTCTCCTCATCCTCCTCACTCTCCTCCTCCTCACTCTCCTCCTCCTCACTCTCCTCCTCCTCACTCTCCTCTTCCTCATCACTCTCATCCTCCTCACTCTCCTCCTCCTCACTCTCCTCCTCACTCTCCTCCTCCTCCTCACTCTCCTCTTCCTCATCACTCTCATCCTCCTCACTCTCCTCCTCACTCTCCTCCTCGACTGAATCATCCTCTCCCTCTTCGTCCCACTGCAATCTTTCCCCCTCCTCTCCCCCATCCTCCTCCTCTTCTTCCTCCTCCTCCTCCCCCTCTTCCCCTCCCCCCTCATTCCCACCGCTCTCTACCGAACCTTCCTCTCCTTTCACCCGCCACTCCTCCGCACCCGTCCCACCATAAACCCTTAACCCCTCCCCCTTTCCAAACTCGCCCCCCTCACCCTCACCCCTCTTCCCTTCCTCCTCACCTCCACCTTTCCCCTCCCAAACCTCTACCCCCTTCCCTTTCCCCCCCTGAATCATCCCCAACTGCCCTGCCATAACCCCACACATCCACTCCTCCCCAATCATCCACTTCTCTTCCTCTACATCATCACCACCAGCCCTCTCAATCTTTGCCCCTTCTCCAGCCCATTCTTTTATCTTCCCACTGCCTTCATCCGTCCGTTCACTCGTGCCCGCACCCATTCCCTCACCATACTGCTCCTCTTCCTCCATCCCCTCTGCTTCCATTGCAACTGCCAGTTCAGCATCTAACAACCCATCATCATCATCCTCCTCTTCTTCCTCTTCCTCTTCATCCTCATCATCATCACCATCCTCCTCTTCCTCCTCCGCTTCCTTTCGCTTCTCCTCCTTCCCCTCGCTGTCCCCCAACTCCTCTCCCTCCTTCTCCTCCACATCACCTCCCCCACTGCCCCCTACCCCCGCATCTACCAGCATCTCTCCATTCATCTGATCCTCATTCCCAAACCCTGTCGTTACCAACATGTCATTCTGCCCCTGCCACCTTGCAATATCTCCACTCCCCTGCTCCTGCATCCAAGCATACCCCGTTGCCCATCCACCCTCCCCTGCCTCCTCACCTAATTTCGCCTCTTCGCAAGACACACCCTCAACATCACCATTATTCCCCTCCTCTTGCTTGTACCCCTCATTGCTACCATCCTCCTCCTCCACTTGCTCCTCTTCTTCCTCCTCATTCTCATTCTCATTCTCCTCCCCTTCCATTTCTTGCTCTCCCACCTCTTCTCCTTCACCGCAACCACCTTCCAAACTCCCCATCTCCACTCCCTCAATCTCATCGCCCTGTTCCTGCTCCACACTTTCCCTTCCCTCACCCCCCTCTCCCTCTCTCATCTCCACATCCTCCCCTTTAACTTCATACCCATCCCCCCACCCATACACCCCTCCATTCTCTCCTTCACCCTCACCCTCTCCTCCTCTCATTCCCTCACCCTTTTCCTCCCCATCATCAGCCATATGCCCTATCCCTCGCCCTTCATCCTCATCCTCCGAGCTCACCAGATCTCTTCCCTCCCCATTTCCTGCTTCCTCCTCCCAAAACCCAAACCCTTCTCCGAATTGAAAAGGCAACGTTGCAAGAGTATCCTCCATCTCATCTCCCTCACCCACCAAACCTTCAATACTATCACTATCGCCAGAGTCACTCTCACTATCTTCCTCATCTGCTTCTCCTTCCTCTCTGCTACCCAACTCTTCATCCTCCTCTTCCTCCCCTTGCACCTCTCCCTCCTCCTCTTCCTCCTCCTCCTCCTCCTCCTCCTCCTCCTCCTCCTCCTCCTCCTCCTCCTCCTCCTCCTCCTCCTCCTCCTCCTCCTCCTCTCCCTCCTCCCCCCCCCCGTCCTCCTCCACCTCCTCCATCTTCTCCTCTTTTACCTCAACATTCTCTTTCTCCTCCTCTTTTTCCTCCTCCTCTTCCGCCTCCTCTTTTTCCTCCTCCCCCTCCTCCTCCCCCCCCTCTTCCTCCTCCTCCTCCTCCTCCTCCTCCTCCTCCTCCTCCTCCTCCTCCTCCTCCTCCTCCTCCTCCTCCTCCTCCTCCTCCTCCTCTCCCTCCTCCTCCTCTCCCTCCTCCCCCCCCCCGTCATCCTCCACCTCCTCCATCTTCTCCTCTTTTACCTCAACATTCTCTTTCTCCTCCTCTTTTTCCTCCTCTTCCGCCTCCTCTTTTTCCTCCTCCCCCTCCTCCTCCCCCCCCCTCCTCCTCCTCCTCCTCCTCCTCCTCCTCCTCCTCCTCCTCCTCCTCCTCCTCCTCCTCCTCCTCCTCCTCCTCCTCCTCCTCATTCCCCTTCCCCCTCTCTTCCTCCTCCACCACCACCTCCTCCTCCTCCTCTTCCTCACTCTCCTCATCCTCCTCACTCTCCTCATCCTCACTCTCCTCATCTTCCTCACTCTTCTCCTCCTCACTCTCCTCATCCTCCTCCCTCTCCTCATCCTCCTCACTCTCCTCATCTTCCTCACTCTCCTCCTCCTCACCCTCCTCACTCTCCTCATTCTCCTCACTCTCCTCATCCTCCTCACTCTCCTCCCGCTCCTCCATCTTCTCTTCCTGTTTCACCTCAACTCTCTCTTTTTCTTCCTCCCCTTCCTCTTCCTCCTCCCCTTCCTCCTCCTCGTCCTCCTCCTCCACTTCCTCCTCCCCCTCCCCCTCCCCCCCTTCCTCCTCCTCACTCTCCTCCTCCTCACTCTCCTCATCCTCCTCACTCTCCTCATCCTCCTCACTCTCCTCCTCACTCTCCTCATCCTCCTCACTCTCTTCCTCCTCACTCTCCTCATCCTCCTCACTCTCCTCATCCTCCTCACTCTCCTCCTCACTCTCCTCATCCTCCTCACTCTCCTCATCCTCCCCACTCTCCTCATCTTCCTCACTCTCCTCATCCTTCTCTCTCTCCTCATCCTCCTCACTCTTATCCATCTTCTCCTGTTTCACCTCAACTCTCTCTTTCTCCTCCTCCTTTTCCTCTTTTTCCTCCTCCTCCTCGTCTTTTTCCTCCTCATCTTCCTCCCCTTCCTCCTCCTCTTCCTCCTCATCTTGCTCCTCTTCCTCCTCCTCTTCCTCCCCCTCTTCCTCCTCTTCCTCGTCCTCCTCATCCTCCTCGTTTTCCTCCTCCTCCTCTTCCTCCTCTTCCTCATCCTCCTCTTCTTCCTCCTCTTCCTCTTCCTCCTCTTCCTCCTCCTCCTCCCCTTCCTCCTCCTCCTCCCCTTCCTCCACCCCTTCCTCCTCTTCCTCCTCCTCTTTTTCCTCCTCGTTTTCCTCCTCATCTTCCTCCCCTTCCTCCTCTTGCTCCTCCTCTTGCTCCTCTTCCTCCTCCTCTTCCTCCCCCTCTTCCTCCTCTACCTCCTCTTCCTCGTCCTCCTCATCCTCCTCGTTTTCCTCCTCCTCTTCTTCTTCCTCCTCCTCTTCCTCCTCTTCCCCCTCTTCCAAAACATCATCATCATAAGACTCATCCCATGCCTCACTCGATTCATCCCCCGCCCCATCCCCATCCCCATCCCACAAGAACCCCCAAAATTCCAGAGCAGTTTTAGCTTCGTTCTGCAATTCACAGTCCTCGTCAGAATCATCTGAAGTACTTGCACTGCCCTCACTCTCCTCCCCTTCTGCCTTTCCCTCCTCCTCCTCCACCTCCTCTTCCTCCTCTTCATCCTCCTCTTCCTCGTCCTCCTCATCCTCCTCATCCTCCTCTTTTTCCTCCTCCTCCTCCTCCTCTTCCTCCTTTTCCTCATCCTCCTTTTCCTCCTCCTCTCCCTCCCCCTCCATCCTCTCTTCTTTTAAATCAGCTTTCTCTTCCTCCTCCACTTTTTCCTCCTCTTCCCCCCTCCCCTCCTCCTCCTCCTCCTCCTCCTCCTCCTCCTCCTCCTCCTCCTCCTCCTCCTCCTCCTCCTCCTCCTCCTCCTCCTCCTCCTCCCCCTCCTCTTCCTCCTCACTCTCCTCATCCTCCACACTCTCCTCATCCTCCTCACTCTCCTCATCCTCCTCACTCTCCTCCTCACTCTCCTCATCCTCCTCACTCTCCGCATCCTCCTCACTATCCTCCTCCCCCTCCTCCATCGTCTCTTCTTGTTTCACCTTAACTCTCTCTTTCTCCTCCTCCTCCTTTTCCTCTTTTTCCTTCCCCTCCTCCTCTTTTTCCTCCTCCTCCTCCTCTTTTTCCCCCTCATCTTCCTCCTCTTCCTCGTCCTCTTCCTCCTCTTCCTCGTCTTCCTCCTCCTCTTCCTCATCCTCTTCCTCCTCATCCTCTTCTCCTTCACTTACATCCGATACAGTTGTTTCTATACCAGCAGCTCCTCCTCCTCCCCCCCCACACTCCATATCTCCTCCCACCTCCTTTCCCCTCCCCTCTCCCGGCATACTCTCACCTCGTCCCTCCCTCAAAACACCACCATCCCCAGCCTCCATTCCCTTCGCACTAACACCATCTGCACCACTTTCAATGCCTTGCCACCCAGCGCAATCCCCACCAGCATTGCCCGACCCAAGGGAATACTCTGTCTTAAACCCCTCTAAACCCCCCCCTGCAGCCGCAACTCCAGCACCTTCTGCCTCATTCATCTCAGCATCCCCTGCCATTTCGCTGTTACCTTTCCCACCACCTCTCACAGAGCCGGCAACGCCTTTCAGGTGACCACGCCCAGCTTTCCGTGCCTTTGTCCCTCCTCTCTCTTCTACTCTGCCTTTCCTCCTCCTTGCGCGCTTCGCCTTCACCCCAGAGCCCTTTCCCTTGCCTCTGGATCGGCCCGAGAGAGCCCTTTCCACGACTATCCTCTCTCCTCTGGTACCCCTTTTAGCATCTTTCTCAAAATCCTCCTCATCACTCCACCAAACCTCACCCTCTTCCTCGCTCTCGTCACACCATGCACTATCTCCCCAGCCATCCCACCACTCATCCTCCCTATCCTCCTCCTTTGAACCCCCTTCCTCTATCACTTTGCCTTTGTTCCCCATATACACGCTCTCTCTTCTCCTTTCACTGCCACAAATTCCGCCCCCCTGCCTCTCTAAACCCACCACTGTCTCTTCAATACGACCGCCGGTCTCCATCCCCCCGTTTCCTCCCAGCTTCTCCTCACTATCCAGCCCTTTCCTCCAACCACCCTCCTCCATCTCCATCCACTCTCTTCCTCCCTTCTCCTCCTCCTCATCCACTCTCTCCTCACAAGGGCTCACCATTTGAACATCGAGCACCTGTTTCATCCCCCTCTCCTCCTTCCCTTCCACCACCAACACATGATGCTCCTCAGTCCACAGCCCATCTCTCCCTAAATTCCCTTCTCCTCCCACCTCTTCACCCATCTCCCCTCCTTCCAACATAAACGCACCCATGCCCTCCCCACTGCCCAAAGCACCTTGATAACCCTCCTGCAACCCGAACTCTTCACCACCTGTCCTCCCTTCCCCGTAACTATAATCACCGCCATCCACATCAGCACCTTCACCAGCAGCACCACCCATTCCTTCCACCTCGTCCTCCTCCCCATGGTAACTCATCATACCACCCTCATCACTCTCCCCAAACAACCCCAGCTGCTCCATACTTGCATAGCTTCTATGCTCTTCCCTCGACTCTCTGTCTTCACTTCTACCCACTTCCTGATTCTTCACGTCCCCTCCCTCTCCTCCATCGTCCATCTCCATCTCCCCTCCCCCAACACAGTCATCCATATGATCCTGAAACCCCTCCTCCCCCTCCTGCCCAAGATCCTGTTCATGCTGTTCCCCTGCCTCTTCCTCTCCCTTTTCCTCCTTCCCCCCCTCCCCCTCCTCCTCATCCTCCTCATCCTCGTCCTCCTCCTCTTCCTCCTCATCGTCCTCCTCCTCTTCTTCCTCTTCCTCCACTCCCTCCTCTTCAGTCACATGTTCCTTCCCCAGCTCCTCCCCGCCCTCCCCTGCACTCACCCGGTCACCCAAACTCACCCTACTCTCGCTTTCCATATGCTGCAACTCCACTCCTTTCCCCTCCCAGTCAGCCGCTCCTGTCCCCCATTCCACATCCATCATACCGTCTTGCTTTAAACACTGCCCCAGATCCTCAATCCCAACCCCCTCCCCCTCTCTCCCCTCTTCTCCCATTCTCTCCTCTCTAATCCCCTTCCGAACTTCCTCTTCCCCCACCTCCTTCCCTTCCATCTCCACCTCCTCATCCTCCTCCTCCTCCACACCTTCCTCGTCTTCTCTCTCCCACGCCGATCCCTCTATCCCCTCCCCCAGACACGCGTTTCCGTCAACCGTCCCCCCATCCTTCCCATGCTCCTGCCATGACTGTATCGTACTTTCCCCCCCACTAGCATTCTCTCCCCCCTCACTCGCATCATCCATCCCCGGATCTTCACCAAAAAGCTCCCCTAAAATAACCGCATGCCCATCCTTCTCAAAATCATTTCCCTTAAAACCTCTTTCCTCCATCCGCTCTTCATTGTTCCCCTCGTCTCCTCTCTCCCCTACTGCATGCTCCTCTCCCTGCCCTTGCTCAGCTAAACCCCCCTCCATCCATTCCTCTTGTCCCTCCTGCCCGACTTTCTCCTGCTGCAGCTGCTCCTGCTGCTCCTGCTGATGCTCCTGCTGCTCTTGCTCCTCATCCTCCACCTGCTGCTCCTGATGCTCCTGCTGCTCCTGCTCCTCCTCCTCCTCCTCCTCCTCCTCCTCCTCCTGCTCCTGCTCTTGCCCCTGCTTCTCCTCCTCCTCCTGCTGCTGCTCTTGCTCTTGCTCCTGATCCTGATCCTGCTCCTGCTTCTCCTCCTCTTCCTCCTCCTGCCGCTCCTGCTGCTCAAGCTCATGCTCTTGCTCTTGCTCTTGCTGCCGATCCCGCACATCGCCCACCTCCACCTCCTCTTCCTCCTCAACCCCATCCTGCCCTGACTGTGCACAGGACGAGGAACCAGAAGACGAAGACGAGCTCGAGGAGCCAGAGGAGGACGAGGCCGATTGGGACGATTTTGCAGGAGAGGATTTTGGAGGAGATCGAGTGGTAGAAGAGGATTTCTTTGAGCTTCTACCTTCCCCTTCCCCCTTCTCCCCTTCCCCTTCCCCTTCTCCTCCTCTTTCCGCTTCTCGCTCCTCCTCCTTTTCCCCTTTTGCTTCTCCTTTCCGCTCCTCTTCCCCATCCTCTTCTGCTTCCCCTTCCCCCTCCCCTTCCCCTTCTCCATTCTCATCCCCGTCCCCTTTCCCTTCGCCAAGGTTCTCCCCAGGCGACGTGTCACCCTTGCTGCCACGCCCTTCCACTGGCCCTGATGCGGAAGATGCTGCAGAGACAGACGCAGACGTAGACACAGAGGCAGATGCAGACGCATGTGCAGAACGAGAGGACGCTTTTCCAGCTTCTTCTGCCGCTGCTGCTCCCCCTGCCGCTGCTTCTCCTTCTGCTCCTTCCGCTGCTGCTCCCCCTGCTGCGTCTCCCCCTGCTGCGTCTCCCCCTGCTGCGTCTCCCCCTGCTGCTCCTCCTCCTGCGTCTGCAGCTGCACCTGCTGCTGCAACAGTGGATGAGGAAGACGAGGAAGATGAGGAGGATGGGGAATCAGCAGAAGAGGCAGCAGATGCGGGGGAAGAGGAAGAAGAAGAACCAGAGGCGGAAGAGGAGGAGGCGGACTGAGAGGAGGACGAGGCTGCGGAAGGCCCAATAACCTCGTCCCCCGCTTCCCCTTGCTGGACCTTCCTCCCTACTTGAGTCCTTGCACTTGTACGTAACTCCTCATCCCCTTCTGCCAGCCTGCCTGCTTGCCCCTTGCTGCCCTCCCCCGCCCCGGTCTCTGCATCTCCAACTTCATCTGCCCCTTCGGTACCATCCCCAACGTTATTCTCCGCCTCGCTCTCTGTCGGCTCAGAATCCACTACACCATCAGGATCAAAAGCCCTATCCCCACCAGCACAAACGTTACCATCCTTGTGATCAGGAAAAGCAGTACCGTTGCCATCACCACCAATCCCATCCCCCCCCCCATCATCATCAGTTTCCATCTTCTCTTCACCTCCTCCCTCCCTGCCTTCCAGCCCTGTGCCACGCTTCTGCTCCGCACCCCTTTCAACCGCACTGTGTTTCAACTCTATCCCTTCCATCTCCATCTCCCTCTCCCCCTTCCCTTTCCCCAATTGCTCCCCATCATACATGTCCCCGTCATCTACATCAACCTCCTCTTCTTCCTTCACAAGTAATCTTGCGCCTTCTGCCTCTTTCCCATCTGCCGATTCACCTCCCACCCTCTCTTTCTCTGCTGCGTTTTCAAGCCCTCCCCTTGCCTCCACACCTGCCCCATTCTTCAATCTATCCACTTCCACCCCCACAACTCCATTCCCTTGCTGCTCCTTTGTTCCCACAACCTTAATCATCCCCTCCTCCTTGTTCTCTCTCTTCACTCCCCCTTGCTCTCCATCCAGCTTTAAATCAGGCCCTGTATGCAGACTGTACACCACTCCCTCTTCACCCCTCCCACCGTTCCCCACCGCTCCTCCCTCTCTCCCATCCCCTCCCGCCCTGTCTCCCTCATTTCCCTCCACCCCTCTGCCTGCTACTGAACCAACCTTCCCTTCTCCGAACCCAGCACCGCTCGTCATCTCTCCCAACCCATTCCCAGACACAAGCGGAGCCTCCCTTGCTTCCTCACCCATCCTCACAGGCCCTATACCCCGGCCACTCCCACTTTCATCCTCCTTCCCTCCGTCACCTCCCACCTTCACAACCACACCTGCTCCTCTGCCTCCCTTCTCCTCGCTCCCTGCACCTCCATCTGCAGTTATTTTGTCCACAGCCTTACCCATGGGGTCACTTTCACGTGCCCCTTCCTCTCTCTCTCGTGCACCACCCACCGCCCCCATTCCCGCTGCCCCATCCTTATCTGCCTGTGTTGAAACCCCAGGCCCTTCAAGCCCCTCCATCTCTGTACAAGGCACACCACGCACTTCCCCATTGACCATCCTTTTCGCACCCCCTTCGCCCTCCTCCCCTGCTACCGACTCTCCCAGCTTCACTCCCTTCCTTTCCTTACCAACACCCTCTTCTTGCGCCTCTGTCGTCCCCCTTTCCCCAGGCAAGACCTGTGTTGGTGCATCAGATTTAACTGCACCTGAATCAGCTGCTGCTACTACTCCTGCTGCTGCGGCTGCGGCTGCTGCTCCTTCCTTGGCTTTTTCCTCTCTTGCAGACATACCCTCCACCTTCCCTGCGGGACCACCAGCAGGAACAACAACTTGATCATCCGCTGCCCCACCAATCCCACCAGAAGGAGCAGCAGCAGTAGCGATAGCAGTAGCAATAGCAGTAGCAGCGGCAGCAGTAGCAGCGGCGGCAGCAGCAGTTCTTTTTCGTCTGCCCCTTCTCCGGTGTGGGGAGGAGCGACGAAGGATGAATTTGGGGAGGGGGGGAGCAAGAGCGCTGAGACGATGAGAGATCGGACGTATGGAGGAGACTGTAACAGAACCACTTAGAACGTCTCGAGCCTGATGGGAAGAGAGAGAGAGGGAGATGGAAAGAGGGCGGAGGAGGGGAATGAGGTTGGAAAGGCAAACGAGAGGAGAGCAAAGGCGAGTTAAGGGGCAGAGACAAGCGCACAAAAAGACTAAAGTGTATTATCTGTAACAACCTCCACCCGTGAACGTTAGACAGGAAGCTAGACGCAAGATACATGTGGGAGTGGATGCGAACGCATACACAGAGAAGACGAGAACAAAACAACAATAAAGAAATGCAAGGAAGGAGACACACTGAGGGAGCGCCTGACCTGCTTCACCACCCAGTCTTCCAAATTACGTGTTAGCCCCCGCAGCAGCTCCGAAAGCAACGCTGCAGCTTCTGGCCTCACAACCACCCGAGACAGCACCGCACCTGCAAACCCCTTCTCACTCTCCCACACACCATCCGGAGGCAACACATCTCCTGTATCCCATCCCATCCCTGCACCTACACCTAAACCTCCCACCCCGCCCGCTCCCCCAAACCCTCCCTGCCCTTGCCCAACCCGCAAAGGCCTGCTGCCCTCGCTGTTACCGTCACCGGTAAGGTCTATAACCCCTGATCCTTTAGCTGCTGCCGCTGAGGCTGCTGCTCCTGCAACGGACGCTGCTTGGCTGTGGTGGTGGGACGCGGAGACGGCTTTCTCGCAGGCTGCTCCGTATAAGGGGCTGAGGCAGAGAGCTGACTGGAAGGCGGACAGGAGAGATGCACCTGTTTGCACCTGCTCCTCACACACCTGTTCGGCCGAGGGTGCAGCGAGCAAGGCAGGGGGACGCGGGCCAGGGTAGGGCGGGGCGGGGCAGGGTGTAGGAGGGTGAGTGGAGTGTGTGTGGGGGGTGGAAGAGAGAGAACGAACGAAGGTCAGATGACAGGAGAGTTGAGAGGGAAATAGCGAGGCCAGGGGATCACAGCAAGAAGGGTGTGGTGACGACGAGAGCACACGAAGAAATAAGGTGTTGGGAAAGAGTGAAGACTGGAATGGTTGGAGAGTGACAGATTCATTAGAGTATAGTGGGAGAGTAGAGCGAAAGTACCAGAGAGTAGCACAAGACTAGTGCGAGAGGCATGCAAGAGTGGTGCAAGAGTAGTGCGAGAGTAGTGCGAGAGTAGTGCGAGAGTAGTGCGAGAGTAGTGCGAGAGTAGTGCGAGAGTAGTGCGAGAGAAATCCAGTGCTCAAAGAGTGAAAGGAAGAAGGGAGAATCTACCTGTTCTGCCAGGAGCAGGCGAGAAAGCACTCTGTGAACAGGCAGAGTTGCAGGATCCAGACTTTCCAACAGAGCCATCAGAAGCACCTGCTGCTCTCCGTTCCTCCACGCATCACCCACCCCTCGCCCCACACCCTCCACTCCATGCACCTCCCTTTCCCAACCCAGCCCTCCGCTCCCCCCCAAAACCTGCTCCCTCCCGTCCGGCTTCCTCCTGCCCGTGCTGTGCCTGCAAGCTCCCTGTTCCTCTTTCTCCTCCCATTCTCCTTGTGCTCCCTTCTCTCCTCGTTCCCGTTGCTCTTGTTCAACCCCTTCTCTCCGTTCCCTGTGCCCGCCGTGTGATCTGACTCGGACGCGGGGTGACAGTAGCCGCTGGGACAGTATCGAGAGGAGGAACTGGCGGCACCATAGCGGTACCACTGCCAGCAGTGCTTCATCAGAGCAGGCCCTAGGTGGAATCCAAAGGACTATACTGCTATCGCCAGCAACCACTGCTGCTGGCGCTGGCAACACTGCTGCTGCTGCTGCTGCTGCTGCTGCTGCTGCTGCTGCTGCTGCTGCTGCTGCTGCTGTTGACGTTGCTGCTTGAGGTGCCGCAGCAGGAGCTGGAGCAGAGGGAGAAGGAGAAGCAGCAGCAGCAGCCGGAGGAGCAGCAGCAGGAGGAGGAGGAGGTTCGCCAAGCCCCAACCCCCTTGCCCCACAGCCAGCCAGACTGGTTGCTGCTCCAGCTGCAGCAGGTGCTGCCACTACTTCTGCATCCTCCCCTGTCACTGCTGCAGCTGTTGCCCCTCGCCCTTCCGCTCCCGCCTCCGCCGCTGATGCCGCTGCTGCAGCAGCAGCAGCAGCAGTAGCAGCAGCAGCCGCCGTTGCAGTGACAGTAGCGGCATGCAACGCAGCAGCCATCTTACTCTCCCTCTCCACCTCCTGCCATAAGCACTGGTCCAGAGACTGTATGTCTCGTAGCAGAGAGGAGCGCACAACAGGGTTCAACACAACATCCATTGCTGCTGCCTCCACATTTGCATCAAAGTCTGCTTGAGCTCCACATTGCACCACTGTCCCTGTTGCTGCTAATGCTGCTCCTGCTCCTGCTCCTGCTTCTCTTGCTGCTGCAGCTGCTGCGTCTCCTCCTGCTGCTCCTGTTCCTTCTGCTTCAGCAGCTGGTATACGGACGGAGGCACGGGGAAGTAGCAAACACAAGGAAGGGGAGTGCCTTCTGGGGCATCTGCAGCTGCGAGGAGCTCTGCAGACCCGTTTATTTCCCTGCTCCTGCTGTTGATGCTGCTGCTGCTCCCGTTGCTGCTGTTGCTGCTGCTGTTGTTGTTGTTGCTGCTGTTGCTGTTGCTGCTGTGCATACATGAGCTTCTTTTCCAGCACCTCTTCCTCCACTGCAGTCTCAACATCCATGGATGCCCCACCGTCGCCCCTCTCCTCAGCAACCGCTCCATCCCCACCACCTAACCGACCTTCTTCCTGCCTCATCTCTCCCTTGCCAGCCTCTCCCTCTCCCCTTCTTCCCCTCCTTTCCACCTCCTTCGCTGCCCTGTGCGCTGCACGTGCATGCAGCGCAGCAGCAAAGAGGGGATATACAGAGAAGAAGAGGAAGCGGGTGGAGAGGAGAGAGGTCTGCGTGCGATGGAGTGCCAGCCTATGCACAGGACCCAGCAAACGGGGCCACCAGGAAAGGTACCCACACCTGCATGCTCTCTCAGATGGAACCACTGTATCAAACACTCCCTCACCAACTTGTTCTCCCTCTCCTCCCTCTCTTTCTCCTGCCCCCGTTCCCTCTCCCCTTCCCTGTCCCTCGCCCATTCTTTGTGTAGCATTCATAAACGTATCGCCACCACTGACAGCAGCAGCAGCAGCAGCCGCCGCAGGTGAGGCAGCAGCAGCAGCAGCAGCAGCCGCCGCAGAGCCTGATGCCTTTGCTGACACATCGACCCGTCTACTCTTCCTGCTTCGTCTGCACTGGCGGCCCTGCCTCTCCTTCTCCTTCTTCTGCGGCTCTTGCCGGTGTGATCCAAGCAGCACACGCAGCCACAGAAGCTGAGACACGTCACACTGCCACCGCTCCTCCTCCCCTTCCCCTTCATCGTCCTCCTCCTTGCTCTCCCCACCCACCACCTGCTGCCGCCCCGCAACGCCCGGTCCCCCGCTCTCGTGCTCTCTCGCACCCGACCTGGATCTTCTACGGCCCTGCCTAAGCTTAACTATGGATGACTGTCTAGAAAGTGGGTTAGTCAAACCCAATCCTGCTGCTGCTGGACCAAGGGAACGATCTGCCCCCCGTGTCCTGATACCCTGGGTTTCTTCCTTGGTGCCTCCCACATGTCTCAACCGCACTGCGCCCCTTGATACCACTGGAGACTCTGTCTGCTCTTTGGCTACAGCATTGGCAGCAAGTCGAGCACCCGCAGCTTCTGCTGCCTCTGTCGCCCTTGCTGCTCCTGTTACCGCCGTTGCTCCTGCAGCAACTGGAACAGCAGCAGCGGCAGCAGCAGCAGCAGCAGCTGCAGCATCAGCAGCAGTGGCTGTCTCAACAGCACCCTCCTCAACCTCTCGCACCTGCAGCAAATCACTTGGAGAAAGGCATTGCAGTCTGGCTGTTACTGACGGCGCAAGGGTATGAGGCGCACACAGGGATGCCACAGCACGAGGCAGAGACACCAGCCCATGAACAGTGCCCAGAGCCACAACAGATAACGCCACCCCCAGTTCCACCTCCCTGCTCCAGTCCAACCTGGATAGACCCTCTCCCTCTGCCTGCACCTCCTCCCTTCCCCCCTCTCTCTGCCCTTCCGGCTGACCTTCACCCTCCGCACTTAACCCTAACCCTTCTTCCACTTGCACCGAACGGCCCATGGGACCATCTGTGTCCTCCTCCCTTTTCGCCCAACCTCCTTCCTCTCCTTCCACTCCCTCCATTCCTCCGCTCCCGCCCCTTCCTTCCTGCTCCTCCTCAGCCTTCACCCTGCACGTTGCTTCCGTTCCCCCACCACCTTCACCTGCCGATTTCACTGCCCCTTCTGCAGCAGCCGTCCCACTCTGCCCTGCGCCCCCTCCGTATCTCTCACCTGCGACTGCGAGAGAGGTGCCCTTCCTACCCTGTACCAGAGGCGGGATGAGATCAGGTGTTACCGGGGATAACGTCCCATAAGCACCAGACGTATATCTTCTCCCAGCCGCAGCAGCAGCACCACCACCACCACCACCGCCGCCGCCACCACTGCTGAGACCAGTAAAGCCAGCAGTGGCAGCAGCAGCAGCAGCAGCAGCGGAGGCAGGAGGGGCACTGGTAGGGCCCCTCTGACTCCCACAAGACGCTCGAACAGCCTCCCCTGCAGCATGAATCAGGGCGTTTTCTAGCAGGCGGGCAGATTGCGAGGGGAGTACGGATACCAGCAGCTGCAAGCACTGCAGGTGCTCCAGAACTCGTTCCCTTGCACCAGCAGCCACAGAATCGCTAACTCTCTCCCCCCTCTCACACCTCTCACACAGCCCTGCTATGCATGTGCTTTTTCTTCTTCTGCCCTTATGCTGCCGACAGCCTGCTGCTGTTTCTACTGCCGCCTTCTTTAGCCGACAATGCTTATCAGCTCTTTCAAAGACTCGCCTGACTGAATCACTGGCCCCTGCAATCACTGCGCATGCCAGCGCGCTGTACAGCTCACTCTCCCTCACTCCCTTGCCTCCATACTCCACACACACGTCCCGCAGTTCCTTGGTAACCGCTTCTATCACACACCTCCTCCGCGCCTTCCTCACTGCCCAGTCTTCTTCCACAGCCTTTCTCTCGCTCCTCCTTCTCCTCCCTGACATGTTACCAGCAGCTTTACCTTCGGTTTCCACGGCAGCAGCAGCAGCAGCAGCACCACCACCACCACCACCAGTGCCATAGGCCCCACCCCACCCTTCTTCCTCCTTCACTGCACTTAGCCTTGAGTGCTCCCAGTCCATCCCATCATCAAAACCACGTTTCCCCCACCTATCCTCCCCAACAAATCCACCAGCCTTATCAACCCTGTCCCGCTCTTCGCCTCCCCCTTTCTCCTTCTCCGCTTCCTCCTCCTCTTTCTCCTCTTCCTCCACCTCTGCCGCCTCCTCCTCCCTGTCTTTTAACTGCAATCTCTGCAATACGTCTCGTAAATGGCTTTCCAGGGACGCTTCCACTGCACCTGCCTCCCCTTCTCCGAAGCCCGCTTTCCCACCCACACCCCCACTCTTTCCCAGCCCAGGCCCTGACACCCCGAACCGCTCTGCGTCGCCTCCAACCACTTCCCTCCCCGCAACCTCCCTCCCTTCCTCCTCCATCACAGCCCGCTTTCTCGCGGCATCAATGTGAGCCCACAGCTGCGGTTGCGACTGTGCCTTAGCAGCCACCTCCCACTCCTTCACTTCAGGAGAGGACGATGCATAGCGCTGCAATAACCGCCCAATGAAATCCGTTAGGTGGTGCAAATCCCTGTCATCCCCCCCATCCATGACAAACAAGCCCGATTCCTCCCCTTGCTCCTGTGGGCCGCTCTCTCCTCCTCGCCCTCCACCCCATCCTCCTCCTGCTGCTGCTGCTGCTGCTGCTGCTGCTGCTCCCGTTTGGTGGCTTACAAAAGAAGCACCAGGGGTAGGTACGCCTGGGGTAGGGCCTATGCCACCTGCAGCTGCAGCAGCAGCAGCAGCAGCAACAGAGGGAGTGACTTGCTGCACTGCACAAAAGGCTAGAGACTGTCTTGCCTTGAGAAGAAGCAGGGAGAGGAGGGATGGCAATTGGGCGAGGGAGACAAAAACCGACTCATACCGCTCCAGGCAAGCTACTAGCACACAAGACTTAACAACCACGCGGCCTCGAATAGGAATGATTTCCGAGACAGGAAACCCTGTACACACCCCACCGCCACCACCGACACCAGTAGCAGCAGCAGCAGCAGCAGCAGTCTGCTCACCATTAGCACCAGCACTGTTGCTGATCCCACTGCTAACCACTCCCCCCAAACTTCCTGCACCTCCTACTCCTGCTGCAGTTGCTGCGCTCGCGCTCACGCTCCCCTGAAAACGAGACACCACCCACGGTACACCAGTCAAACCAGCCTCAAAACCCGAACGCTCGCCGAACGCACTGACCCCACCACCAGTCCCATACCCAGACGCATTCCCCCCGGGCACCTGGCCTTCCGAGGGGTGTTGGGTCTGCAGCAGTGCATGCTCTGTTGCCCCCACGGTGCCCCTATGCTCGCTGGAGCGGGCTAGGGCCAAAACTATAAGCAGAAATCTCGTGAGGTTACGGAAATCGGAGCACGTATCAAGGACATACAGCACCTGCTGTAACTCCTCCTCTCCCACCACCCACTCCTCTGCACCCATCCCGGCCGCTCCTGCACCGGTTCCCGAGTGCTCGCCTGCTGTCGCTCCGGTTACCGTCCCTTCAAGAGACTCCCTGGACGCAGGAGCAGGAGAATCCGCGTTATAAAACGGAGTACTGCAGAGAGGAGAAGGAGAGAATAGCGGGGACGGCGCGAATAGAGGCGAGGGGGCCATGAAAGGAGAAGGGGCAGTGAAGGGTGAAGGAGCCGGGGAAGCAGCCGCTGCTGCCACCGCAGCAGCCGCAGCCGCTGCAGCCGCCGCAGCTGCTGTGGCTGCTGCGGTGGCAGCAGCAGCCGCCGCCAGCTCCCTTGTCGCGTTCGCTCCCCTACGAGAACCCCTGCTGCCCCGCCCACTCTTAGTATTCTTCCCTGTCTTTCCATCTGCTTTCGATGCAGCTTCTGCCGCCGCTGCTTTCGCCGCTACTAAAGCGTCAGCCGTAGACACGGCTTTTGCAGCTGCTGCTTCCAACACCTGCGTCTCCTCCTCCACCCAGCTCAACACCACCCCTACAGGTCCCTGCAGGATTTCGTCAGGAGAGAACCTTGTAGGGAGAGATCCAACAAGCGCGGACGTGAGCCGGAGGGTGAGACAGAGGCGATCGCGCGGAGAGAGCCGGTTCAGGGCTTTGGTAACAGAGCGCCAAGAGGGCAGTTTGCGCACTAAGCCTTTGGCACAGTCAAGCTTGGCTGCTGGGAAGGGCTTGGTTGGCCCATCCATGTGGTCGGGTTGGAGATTCTGTTGGTGAGCATGAGTCATATAATGTGCATGTGCTCCTGTTCTCATGCCCCTTCCATCTAGCGTTTCTTGCCCTGGCCACTGCCCCTGCCCCTGCCACTCCCACTGCCACTGTGACCCACTCTTGCTTCCCTCTCCTGCAGCCTTGTAACCCTTCCCCAGTTCCTCTTGAAACAGATCACTGGAACCCTTTCCTCTCTCACCCGCTTCCTGCTTCACTAGTCCTGTGTGTGCTTTGCCTCGTGGTTTGCCTCCTCCCTTGTTCGCCGCATCCCCCTCCCATTGACTCCGGATACGCTCGTTCTGCCACCAGGCTTCCTCGTCCTCCTCCCCTTGCTCCTGCTCTCGCTCTTGCTCCTCCCTGGCTGCATCTGTCCGCTTGTCTTCCTCTGCTCTCACACTCTCGTTCATCCACACACCAGAGGCGTTTTTCCCAATCCGTGCCTCAACTCTATGAAAGGAAAACATCTCCCCTACAGTAGCAGCAGCAGCAGGAGGAGGAGGAGCAGCAGCAGCTGGAGCAGGGCGAGTAAAGCGGGGAGAAGGAGGATGAGCAGCAAAAGCAGCTCTGGTAGAAACATTCCCACCACAGAACTCAAGACCATCTCCCTGTCGCACTCCGTTATTCGTGTTCTCTTCGCTCTCCTGCACTGCCCCCACTGCTCCTCTGCTCCTCCCAAACCCAAGCAACGCTAGCACACAGTCCACTGTAACTATCTGCTGCTTCGAAACTGCCTTTCTCAACTGCTTCTCCCCCCACGTCTCCACAGTATCTCTTCTCCCTCCTCCCCCACCACCATTGCTATCCGCAATACGACCCCGGCCGATTCGTACTCTCACTCCCCTTCTGCCTTGCCAATACCTTTGCTTTGCCTTCTTCCCTCCGACTTCTTGTGGCAAAGCCTTTGACTTGCCTGCCTTCCTTCTCCGCTTTCCCACCACCTGCTTTGGCTTTCCTACCTTCTCCTTTTGCTTCCCTACCTTTGCCCTTTGCTTCCCTACCTTCGCCTTCTGCTTTCCTACCTTTGCATTCCGTCTCTCTAAAGCACCCTTCTGCTTCCCTGCCTTCTCATTTCGTTTCTCTACCTTGCCTTTTTGCTTCCCTAATTCGGCCTTTTGCTTTCCTAACTTCTTCTGCTTCCCTATTCTAACCTTCTGCTTCCCAACCTTCTCATTTCGCTTCCCTACCTTGCCCTTTCGCTTCCCTAATTCTGCCTTTCGCTTTCCAGTCTCTGCCTTCTGCTTTCCACTCTCCGTCTTCTGCTTTCCACTCTCCGTCTTCTGCTTTCCAGTCTCCGCCTTCTGCTTTCCAGTCTCCGCCTTTTGCTTCCCTAATTCCACCTTTCGCTTTCCTAACTTCAACTTCCCTACTTTCTCTCTTTGCTCCTCAACCTGCACCTTCTGTCTTCCTGATGACAACTCCTGTTTCCCTACTCTACCTTTCTTCTTCCCTACACATCGACTCTCCTTCCCCACCTTCTTCACTTCCCTCTTCCCTCCCTTCCCAACCACTCTACCAGCCTTCTGTCCCTGAGCACACTTCTTCTCATTCCTGGAATTCTCCTCCAACCGCCTTCTCTTCTTCTGCCTTCCCTCGGATCCCACCATCTTCAGGCGTTTCTTCACCAGCTGCCCTTCCGTCCTTACTGCTGACTCCCCACCCTCCGCTCTTTTCCTCTTTCTCCCTGGCTTTGCCTCAAACTTCACACCAACTTGATCACCCTGCTGCTGCTTCTGCTGCGGCTCCCGTGCCTTCTTTTTCTTCTTCGTCTTTATCTTCTTCTGCACCGCATTCTTCACCTTTCCCAGCTGCTTGCTCTTCTCTAACTCACGTACCTCCCGAATCTCACATGCTCCTCGCTTGACATCAGACGATCGTCGAGGTTTCCCTCTCACTCCTTTCACTGCTTTCACTCCTGTCACTCCTTTCACTCTTTTCACTCCTTTCACTCCCTTCACTCCTTTCACTCCTTTCATTGCCTTCACTCCTTTCACTCCCTTCACTCCTCTCACTCCTCTCACTCCCTTCACTCCTCTCACTCCCTTCACTCCCTTCACTCCTCTCACTCCTTTCACTGCCTTCACCCCCTTCACTCCCATCACTCCTTTCACCCAGATTCCAGCCCTCATAGTAACAACCCTCTCTGTCTCAAACAACCAGACGGCCTCTGCAATCGCTCTCAACCTCCCCTGCACCTCCCCCACCCTGCCTTCCCATTCGTCCTCTAACTCCAATTCTTCGCCTAGATTTCCCCCACCCTCAGTAACCCTAGAAAACAACCCTCTTTCAGGAAACATCTGCTGCTGCTGCTGCTGCTGCTGGAATCTAAGCCCATCAGATCCTGGCCCAGCCCTGCTATCCCGCTTCTGCTCCAGCTGCTCCTGATTCTGCTGAGGAAACGCAGCGAGCAGGCGCATCAACTGTGGTGGGTGTGGCAGCAGGTGCAAGCACTCCCGGTGACTCTGCGTTCCCCAAAACCGCTCCAACGCCTGCCCTTGCAACGCCACAGTCCACGCAACAGAAGGGGCAGCAACACCTGCTCCTCTCCCTGCTCCTACTCCAGCAGCAGCTGAAACAGCAGGAGGCTCCATTCGACCATCTGCTAGCAGCTGCTTCATATAAAGCACTGGTCCAAACAGCCCCTGCTGTACCAGCTCACACAGCAGCGCGTGCAGCAGCTGCCGCCTCTGCTTTGCCCCACCTGGACCTCCCACCACAAAGCAGTATCGCTTCTCCAGCCACTCTAGTATCAAGTCGTGAAGGCCCAAGTCTGTAACCTCCTCCTCTGCCTCCAACAGAGCAGGCAACGCATCCTTACCGTTTTCCCTCCTCTTTTCCTCACATCCTTGTCCCTCCTCTTCGTCCTCCCTCTCCTCCTCCTCCTCCACCGCCCGCTCCTCTTCCTCCTGTCCCTCGTCCTTCTCTGCCTCGAAACCATCATGCTCCATAGCTTCTCCTTCCCTGCCCGCCTCCCCTCCCTCCCGCTCAGCCGTCCCTGTAGCTACGCTGCTGTTGACTGTGCAGAATTGATCCGTACCTGCACCTGCATCAGCAGCCACGTCTGCAGCAGCCGCATGGGAGAGGGAGGAGAAGATGGGCGGCTGAAAGCTGGACGCATACGTGCGTAATACCGAGACAGCAAAGCACACACGAGCATAGTCCGAGAGAGGCAAAGCACGCCCTGTGGAAGGACAGAGAGACATAGGTTTTCTTGATCTCCCTTGCTTCTTGCTGTGCCTGCTGCCGCTGCTGCCCTTGCTGCCCCTGCTGCTCCCGCTGCTCCTGCTGCCCCTGCTAGCACTACCATTCCCACCAAACAGCTGTAGAAACTTCCACCTTTGAGGCCGCCCCGCCCCCCCACCAGTAACAACCCATTCTAAAAGAAAGCACACCGCAACCGCGTCACCCCCCATCCACTCCCTCCTCCAGCCCACCCTCCCTGCAGCCTGTGAACCTTCCCCTTCCACCCCTGCACCCTCCCTTCCTACTGCTCTTTCACCCTCCCCCATTCGCAGGTCCGCTCCCACTGCTGCTGCTCCTCCCCTTCCTCCCTCTCCTCCTCTTGCTGCTGCTGCCGCTGCTGCTGCTGCTGCTGCTGCTGCTGCTGCTGCTGCTGACGATGATGATGATACTGATGATGCGTTTCGGCCACTGACGACGCCCAGAGAAGCGCAGCAGAGCTCACTAAACGCCCCATCCAGGAACAGAGACCTTATTGCTCCCTCCACATCATGCCCTCGCAACGCACACTCTAGGTCCTCTGCCACTTTCCCCTCGTTTGTGCGCAGAACGCACAGGTTCACACTGCTTCCGAGAGCTGCTGCGCGGGCGGTTATTCCATCCACTACGTCTCCCAGAGCCGAGTAACACAGCAATTCGTCTGCCCACACTGCGGCTGTGTCTACTGCGCTGCCTGGCATGCTGCTGCTGGGATCAGCAGCAGCAGCAGCATCTCCAGTCCCTGCATCAGCAGCGTTCGCAGTAGCAGCAGCAGCAGCATTATCCTCCATAGGGTCTTCACCACTACCCATGCCCTCGACCCCGTCACCAAATTCAGTAGTTCCCACCGCATTCAACCCGCCAGCACCACTCAAATCGTCCCGTTGAGCTGCTTCTGCTGCTTCAACAGCTGCTGCTGCCGATGCCGCTGCCGCCACTCCTGCTTCTGCTGTTGCTTCCATAGCTGAGCTTAAGCCGCTACACGGATCTGAAACCCACGCTCCTGAACCATCCAGCCCCTCGGCACCCTCACCACCTGCTTGACCTGGCGACTGGGATGGCTGAGTATAAACTGGCATAGCAACAGGCTGGTTGCTGTTTCCAAATGGAATCTGGGCGTTTTCAGATACAATCTGGGCGTGCAGTTGGGGCTGACTAGGCGGCTGGAGTGTAGATTCAGCGGCTGGTGAGGGAAAGAGCTGATCCATGGGCGGTAAATTGGCCATAGCAGGAGCAGCATAGGAGACCAGAGGGGGCAGGGGGAAGCAGTTGAGTCCCACGAACGAGTCTGGGGCAGTCACGAGGAGAATCCTCACTACACCGGCAAGACATAGGGCTAGCGCATGCGTCTCCTCTGACCCTGGAAAGGAACCCTTCCCCTGCACGTGCCCATCCAAGTCCAGCCTACCACCACCGCCACTAGGTCCCCCTCCCCAGCCTGCACCTGCCCCTACTCCGCCAGTGCCACCAGCAGAGCCTGCTGCGGGGGCAGGGGGCGAGAGGGGGGAGAAGACGTCCATGGGAGTGGAGGAACCTGAGAGGGGCTGGAGCGGAGTGAGAGGGGAGATGGGCGGTGATGTGGGGTTCTGTGAAGGGAATGGCGCATGTGACGACTGCTGCTGCTGCTGCTGTTGCTGCTGCTGCTGTTGCTGGAATAGCTGCTTCTTCTGAGGCTGTGTGAGGTTCCCTGCGAGTGCTGCAGGGATCGGCGCTGCTTCTGCTCCACTTGTTGTAGCAGGCACGGACGAAGGCAAGGCGTGAGGCAGAAGGTCAATCCAGGACAAGCACGCGTCTACCAGTGCGCGTAGATGCGCCTGGGACATGGCTATAACGGGTACAAGCTCCAGCAGCAGCGGCATGAGGCAGGAGAGAACTATAAGACTCTCCTTCTCCTGTAACTGTCTCAGCAGCCAGTCTACCAGCATTGTTCGGCTCACCAGCCCTTCACACAAATGCCACATCAACAATCGACATATGTACTCCCACCGACCTGTCGCCTCGCACTCCGCGCCCTCCTCCACTCCTTCCCCCAGCCCCTCCCCTTCCCCTTCCACTTCTCCACCCCAGCCCCACACTCCGCCCCATGTGCTCTCCTGGCTCTGGGGATATGCACCTGCAGCACCCGACGCTCCAGCCACCCCAGCAACTCCAGAAACAGCAGCAGCAGCAGCAGCAGCGGCAGCAGCAGTGCCTGCAGCTGTATTCCCGAGACAAGCACTGCCAGAACCCCCTGGTGCTGCATTGACTGCAGCAGCAGCAGCTGTACCTGTCCCAGAAGCCACCTCCTCTAACACCTGCTTGGCAAACTCTAGCAAATCGGCCGTCCAGTGGTCGGTTCGCTTCACCTGCTGCCTCTCCGCGTTGCTGCTACCCAGGCTACCACCGCCGCCAAGGCTGCTGCTGCCACCCAAGCCACTGGCGCCACTACCACCACCACCAAGCCCTCCTGCCGGACGAACCTGGTGCAGTGCAGCCAGAGTTTGAAATTAACAACCCCGAACCGGAGGAGAGTTGGTGGGGTGGGGGGAGGGGGGCAGTGGAGGGAGAGCGGAGAGAGGAAAATAAGGAGAGGAGGCACAGGAGGTTGCAAGAGCATGTTATTGTGCAGGCTACTACGGCTGAAGCGGTTTTTTTTTTTTTTTTAAAGAAGGGTTGGAAAGGTGTCAAAAGTGTTGAAAAATAGATGCGGCTGGCAGGCAGGCATGACGGCAAATAAAGCGCCGGTCTCTCGCATCACCTGCGTCACTAGCGAACAGCAAAGCACATACATGCATGCCCTTAGCAGCAGGTGGCCTTCCCTGCCCACCCCGACCACGGCGTTTGAGACACCTTGGATTAGGAGCGCACTCACAAACTCATAAAATCTCATCTCATCTCGTCTTCATCTCATCTCGTCTCATCTCATCTCATCTAATCTCATCTCACGCACCTGGTTGAGAAGCACGCAGCGTATGTACCAGGTAGCCCGCGCCATGGGCACCCTCTGCTGCACCAACTTTTGAGGCGCCTCAAAACGAATTGAGGCGCCTCAGAGATTCACTCACAATCTCATCCCATCTCCTTCCACTGACCTGGTTGAGAAGCACGCAGCGTATGTACCAGGTAGCCCGCGCCATGGGCACCCTCTGCTGCACCAACGCCTCCAGCAGCTGCTTCTTGCGTAGCCCATGGGGTACTGCGTCCCCCAGCACACGCAGCCGCTTGCGACCAGACAGGTCCTGAGACACGGGGGAGAGGGGAGTGGGGGAGGAGTTTCAGGACGCCCTACGAGTCGTTGCTTGCGCAGCCCATGAGGTACTGCGTCCCCCAGCACACGCAGCCGCTTGCGACCAGACAGGTCCCGAGATACGCACGGGAGGGGGGGAGAGGGGGTGGGGAGGGGAGAGAGGGGGGAAGGGCGGGGGGGACGAGTTTTGGGACGTCCCACAAGTCGATATTGCAGCAGCCCGTAAGGTATTGCGCCCCCCAACACACGCAGTCGCTTGCGTTGCGACCAGACAGGTCCTGAGACAGGGGGGAGGGGGGGGGGCGGGAAGGGACGAGTTTTGGGGACGTCTCAAAGACCTTATGATTGAATGGGCACGTTTTGTGGGAGGCCTACCTGAGACGACGAGGGAAAGACTAGTACGGCGGAACAGGAGAGAAGGTGAGGGAATGTACAGCAGGGTGGGATGAGTGTGTGGGGGGGGGAGGAGGGGAGGGGAGACGAGACGAGCTAGTACCTCTATCCATTTGCGACGCGCATCTTCTGAGAATGTTTTTTGATCTGGGAAGGCCCCAACACGAGTAAGCATGGCTCCTGACAAAGGCACTCCATACACTTGCCCCGTCTGATTTCACATGCACCCGACACGCACGCACGCACCCACCCACACGCACGCATGCACACACACGCACGCACACACACACATGCACACACACACATGCACACACACGCACGCACACACACACATGCACACACACGCACGCACACACCCACACGCACGCATGCACACACACGCACGCACACACACATGCACACACACACACACACACACACACACACACACACACACACACAGGGAAAACACTCACACACACAGGTAAAAGCAAGAGAAACACAGAAAAAGAAACATGTGAGGCACGAGTCAGATGCAAACACTCGGAAATGCGTGAACGTGCAAGCAGCATCGCCAAGGAGACTCTCACAAGCAACAGACAGGCAGCAGGTTAGGCTCAATTCGACCTTACCTTGCGCTTGCGGACCAGAGAGTTGTTGAGTGCTCTAAGGCACTTGTGCATAGCCTGGTTGGAGAACACATAGGCGCAGTTGCGCCAAGGAGGGATGGGAGGGGGTTGCAGGGAAGGGTGGGTGGGTGTTCAGGAAGATTTACACACGCATAGGACCAACCAAGAGACAAAAAATATCAAGTGAGGAAGGGAGTTCCCTGCTGCCTAGGGTAGGGGACTCTTGGACAGGTGCGAGCGTGCAAGGACAGGGCATCAGCTGCATCAGTTTGCATGGCATAGCAGAGTATGCAATGCGTTCCAAGTCAAATCCCGTTCTGGATGGGGCTAGTCTCTGGCGAAACGGCACGGTTCAAGCTGAAAGGAAAGGGTGGTGGCGGTGGCGGTGGTGGCATGGCGGTGCGTACAGTTCGGAGGTTGGAGACGTTATTGCACGTCCAGAAGCCCCGTGTGGACAGGAGCGAGTACGTGACCTCCGTGCCCTCCTGCGCGCACAACAACGCACAGTGGTGGCAGCATGCAATGCAAGCACAGGAGGACGTGGGTGCACGTGGGTGCACGTGGGTGGACGTGGGTGCACGTGGAAGGCAATGTAGAAAGAGAAGCCATCATGCAGCGTGGGGAGTAAGGGTAGAGCAGCGTAAAGTGACCGCGCCGAGCAGCAATCAGTCAAAGTGACCGCGCCGAGCAGCGTGACGACACGACCACCTATGAGTCTATGACCTTCCGGCAAAGCTGGGCATGCAACGGAACGTGGCACTTTGACGAAAACGGGTTTGGAGGGAGGGGGGGGAGGGCGGGTGGCGAGGGGAAGACGGGGAATGAAGAAAGGGGGGAAGGGGCGAGGCGAAGAGGGAAATGAAGGAGCGAGGGAGGGGGAGCGGAACGGGGAGGGCACGAGGGAAAGGGACAGATATGGGGCCAGGGGGGGACGGAAGGAGAGGGGAGACTCACGTCGACTCCTGGGACAGTTTCTCTGTAGCCGTGCTGTATGACTCTGGGCGTCATCACCTCCTCCATGTCCCCCTCGTTGGGCGCGTAGAACTCAGGCGGACCCATTCTGCACGCACGCACACACACACATGTGGAGCAGCAGCAGCAGCAGCAGCAGCAGCAGCAGCAGCAGCAGCGGGGAGCGACTCAGGAGGAACGGTGGTCACAGACGCCAGCAAACGGGTCACGGAAACGAGGGTCGAGACTACGGGTTTCACGAAAGGATGAGTGTGTCCACGGGGTGGGGCGGGGGTTAGATAGATGGGCAGGGGAGGGACGAAGAAAGAGGTCCTTCTTACCTGTTGCTGAGTGGCTCGTGGTCACAGCGCAGTCGATAGGGCACCACCTGGCCTGACCGCCTGGTATCCATGCGCATGGGAAACATGGGCGCAACATCCGGCATGGTCAGTGCAGCAAAGGCTCGAAATAAGAAACGGCTGAGGTTGAGGGTGAGGTAAGGTTGAGCTAAGGACTGAGGCTGGCTGACAGAAAATGAGTGTAATAACAGGTGATTTGTGCTTTGACGCGCCTCAGAAGACTCGGTAATTTCGGGCACGATCGATTCAATCTCCCATAAAGTACTACAAGAGCCGTGAAGAGCGAAGATGACAAGTGCCAAACTAGAGGTTGAGAGTCATCAGACAGACGGGCATTCGGACAAACGACTGGATAGGAGATGGATGACCGCGGTAAAAGACAGGGCGATAGAGAGATAGAGAGAAATGCAAGCAGAGGGAGGAATTGCGAGGAGCACGACGCGGGCTGGGGAACTGCCGGCCTTACCTTGATCCAAACGCGACGCCTGAGCCGCCACTCCCGGAGTGGTACGCTTCTGCACACGCGAATGGCATAGAGAGAGCATAGGGGTTTCATAGGGAATAGGTTGCAATCTGAGAAGGTGGCGCTAAGGCGGAATGATGTTCGCGGGAGAAGAGCGCAAGGTCACGAGGGAAACTGGAAATTCCAAGAGATCGAGACTAATGTCGCAACCGTGGTTTCAACCTCTTCGCTCTTTGCTGCGAGCTCCTCCGTATTAACTGCATCGAATTCTAACAAACGAGCAGCTAACAAAATAACACGACACTCTGCTAATCGTGCGCGGAACCGTGCGAACCGTGCATTTGCCACTAATCCTGCTGCCTTTCAATGCTAAGCTAGTCAAATAACCATTCAATAACTTGCGACGTCTCTTTACGCTGTCTGAGGGTCAAAGTTCATCAGCGTACTTGCTCGAAGCACGCTCGCGAGGGTGATCAAGCGAAATGCTCGCACGCCCTATTAAGTATGTCAAGGTCGCTAAGAACTAACGGCGCGACCCTTACGTGTAACAGGAATGTAGACGTTTCCCTGATGTTGAGCGGGTATTCGCGTAGCGGATTTCTCGCCTTGAAGGCCACACAGCATCGTGAAACCGACCCTAAAAATGAGAAAAATGCAATCCACAAAATTCAATGCGATTTCTCGTGACGACAGACCGGCAGTTACGGCTCGCTACTTCTTAGAAGCTTCCTCGATGGATTTTTGGAAGCGGGGAAAAGGCGCACGTGAAACTCCTGACGCTTACGGGGTGTAAAAACTACCGCAGATGAACCAAGGCGACTAGATCCGCGCAGACGTGCAATGGTAGTCTATACGACGAAACGGTCGTCAAGGACTGAAATCGCGAGCTAGCCTGGTGCTACTTTGCGTGCGCCGTTACTGTGAATAGAGCCCACTGACGCCCTAAGATGAAGAAAATCGGCACTACGCCCCACTAAGCCCTACGCTATATTTAACGAAAGCTCCGCCGACCCTAAAACGAAACCTAATGTTTATGACAACCTTCTAAGCTCTCTCCGCAGAGATCAGAGGATAGCACGCTTACCCCCTCCATGGGTGCCTGAAGGTGCTGCCGACCCCGACGTTCGTCTACCCCGCTCAAATCCCAAGGCGGGTCGCGTCATGGCTGCTTCGTTTTACTCCCTAAGCTGTCGATTGCTCGCTAGCCTCCTCCCCAACTCTGCTTCCTCCACCAAAAATCGGCCGATCTCGCAATTGTGACATAAGCGAGACGTTTACGGAATTGACATTTTCCAGGCCCTAATACTATGCCGACCTTCATTTAGTGACCAGGCTTGGCCTTCGCAATATTACATAGTCGTCTCAGTCCAGGTCGGCAGCATTCATAATCCAGTCGCATGAGTAAGTACCTACGGCTTAGGACGGAAACCCTAGGTGAGGTGAGGAGGGGAGTTGGGCGAGATTCGTAGCGAGTTCGACAGAGACACATCTTGACAACACCCAGACAATTTCGGCCCTCTCAAGGTGGTCGACGACACGTGGCAGGCGCGAATGCTCCCTATTCTTGGTGGCCTTCGTTTCCTGGATCTGTTACATTCCCAAGTTGACACTCCTGTGGGGCTCTCATCGCATCCTAGCCGTCGACTGATTTATCGGACGGAATACCTGACAGGACGGCGCGTCAAGGCTGGATGAAATGCGAAACCCCATCTTGGGGTCACGCGACGAGAGGCGAAGTGATTGAGCGCAAGAGCCCAACAAATCCAGTCAAAGCATTCAAATTTCAGGACTAGCGACACTTTATTCATTCGACAGTGACGAAGATGGTGGACGAAAGAGCATTCCACCCTGTATCCACCTATGTTTTCGCGAAACAACACGCTCAGATGTTCAAACCGATGACCCGTTTTTAGCGGCTTCACTTCCCTGATTACTTTGACGGACGGTGACTCCTCTCTATGCTACACAAGACACTAAGGTACAACAACTTTCATATATATAATCACTGCCATGAAATGGATCATCAATATGATATTTCTCTCCATAATGTCGTACCCTGGTAATCCATACACGTGACCGTAATCCATACTCCATAGTACGAAAAGAAGTGACACGATATGCTAGTGGTGGGCTGAATTGGATATGGCGTGCTAGCCTAATAGACTTGCATGAAACTGAGCACGAAATGTAGCGAACTAACAAACAAATTCACACACGCCCACATCTACACACACACACACACACACACACACACATACACACGCAAGCGCGCGCGCGTGCGCGCGTACGCACGCACGCACGCACGCACACACACACACACACATACAAACACACACACACACACACACATACACACACATACACATACACACACATACACACACACATACATACACACATATGCACACACACACACACACTCACATACATGCACACACACACACATATACACACACATGTCATAATAACTGTGCAGGAATGAATGAACTATGAATGAGTTGGGTAGAAGTACTCACCCTAAAGTGTTGTAACCCTTGTAGGCTAACCCACTATAGCATAGAGAGAACACAAACATATAGTATGACACACCCCCATAGGCTAAGTGAGAGAGAGCAAACACAACAGACGGTCACACGACCAGTCAAGCAAGAGAACAAACCAAACCAAAGCTCAAGGTGGATCTCAAAGACACCATACAATCTGAGCACAAGCAAGCGGCCACAAGGCCAGTTCACATGCAGAGTCATAATAGCAAGGCAGTACACTGATCACAACATAGCAAGAGTAAACAAGCAGGTATAAAGATATACATCAGTGTACAACAAGAGCAAGTCAAGCAACCAACAGGTGAGGCAGAGTGGGCACAAGCCCAAGAGCAGTGCAGAAACGCTCATGATCACCAGACCCAAGGGCCTTGGTGAACACATTAGCAGTGTTGGCCCGCGAGGCCACGTAGGAAAGGCGGAGCTGACGTTGCTTCTGCAGCTCACGCGCAATGAAGTAACGAAGAGCAATGTTCTTCGTTCTGTGCTCCAGTCTCTGCTCGTGACACAAGGCAAGCATTGCCTTGTTGTCAACGAACGGATTTGGAGGAGAACAAGGCTGCTCCCCCAAGTCGGTCAGCAGGTAGGTCAGCTAGCGTAGCTCCTTTGCAGCCATGGCCCTAGCGTAGATCTCGGCCTCACAGCTGGAACTAAGCACAGAAGAAGAACTAGTGGACCTCCACGAGACAAAACCAGAGCCAAGACTGAAGGTCTAACCCTGTGACGAACGGTGAGTCGCCTGGACATCGACCCAAGAAGCGTCGGAGTGTCCTGTGAGTACCACTGAACCCTGCCCTCCAAGCACGAGCCCCATGCCCGATGTACTGCACAAGTAACACAGTACCCTCTTCGCAGCATCCCAGTAAACCTTTCGGTGTCTACCGGAAGCCACGTAGAGAGCTAGGAGGCTGAGAAGGTACGCGAGGTCAGGTCGTGCGCACGTCATCAGGTACATGAGGCAACCCACAAGCTCTGGGTACGGACCACTCGGCTCTACGGACTCGTCCGAAGGTGGAGCTGAGAGCAAGTGGCTGGTAGACAGAGGAGTGGGCTGTGGCGAGGAGAACTGGAAGCCGAAGCGCTGAAGGACCTGGTGCACCATGTGTGACTGAGTCAGGGTGATGGTGCGCCGTGCTCTGTCCCGGGTGATCTGCAAGCCAGGATAGTTACGCAGCTCACCCAGGTCAGTGCACGTGTGTCTCTCTTGCAGCTTCGCCTTCACTAGAGCCAACGCCTCAGTGTCAGCAGTAGGAAAAACCAAGTCGTCGACGTACACGAGAATGTAGAATGGCGGCAGGGTAGTGTCAGTGCGTAGAAATAGCGACGGGTCAAAAGAGGAAGGAGCAAACCCAAGAGCCGCAAGTGTAGTCCTCAGTGTGTCGTGCCACTCTCGGGGCGCCTGGCGGAGACTGTAGACTGGCCGCCGGAGGCTCCACTGGGTACCCGCAGGAAACGACCCAGTGAAGCCGGGTGGGCGGCGCAGCCAGATCTCCTCGTGAAGGCTGCCCTGCAGGAAAGCTGTGGAGAAGTCGAGGAAGTGTAGCTCGTAGTCACGCTGTGCTACAACGTGCAGCATCACCCGAAGAGTAGTCATCTTCAGGGTGGGGGAGAAGGTCTAGAAGAAGGCGACCCCCTGTCGATGACTGAAGCCTCGAGCAACGTAACGCGCCTTGAAGGCAGGCGGAGAACCCGGCGGCCGCTTCACTCTGAAAATCCACATGCCATCGACTATGTTCGCCCCAG